TATATATATAAATATAAAAGCTTTTACCGCTCATCAGTTTAGTGTTATCAGTGATTAATAGCCCTAGAATTATTGCTCTCACTACGACGTTCGCTGTGATATGTAACACGTGCAGCGTAATGGGCGCAATCGTCATTTTCCCACGAATGCGCACCCAACGCATGTTTGCACGCATGTATGTATTGGTGGGGACTTTTGTATTTGTTTTTTATTTAAATTCCTTTTTAAGTGTGACTAATTTTTTTTTTTTGTCCCTTAGCGTTACTGTTATCACATAGGGGGGCTAAGAAACCCTCCATGTGATAGCAAATAGATGTGACAGGTCCTCTTTATGGAGACATCAGGTCTCCAAGACCCCTAATGTCACCTAGGGACCCCCAAAAAAGCAGAGATCTACTTCATCAGCTTCTCTCCAGCTTCTGAAGCCGGAGAGTGACACAAGAATGCGGAAGTGATATAATATACAACATCACTTCCGCATTCTGACACTGGAGAGGGGAATGGAGGGAGATTGTTCACCGATCTCCCTCTGATCCCCTGTCAGAGAGCCCCCATGCTGGTCCCGGGCTCGCAGCGGAGCTCGGGACCAGCGGGAGGGGGGCTGTGGAGGGGGAACGCACAGACTGGCACGTTATTCAAGCGATCCACCAGCTCTATAGCCGGCGGATCGCTTGTATGTAAACAGGCATCGCTGCCTGTTTTTGAATTTGGGCAGTTTCCCGCTAGCGCGCGTTGCGCAGGGTGAGTGAGTGGGCGGGCCAACAGGCCATCTTTAGATGTCCCCCAGGGCAGTACCCGAATACCCATACCCTTTTTATGGCCATTAACTTGCATATAAGCCTTCAAAAAGGGGGCAATTGATTTTTCAAGTTCGGGTCCCATAGACTTGCATTGAGTTCGAGTTCGAATTCAAACTTTTTCCATGTACTAAAGTTCGAATTCTAACCGAACACGGGGCTGTTCGGCCCATCACTATTAGGCATACTACATACATCATTGGAGAGGGTGTAGTCATGATGCTTGCTATAAATCTGTTTAAAATGCCAAGGTGCAGCAATTAAAAATATAAAAGTCGCATTAAAATCTGAGTAATGATTAATGACAGTATATGGTTTATAAACAGTATAGTTTCTCTTTAATTCAGAGTAGGTAATCTTTGTTTTTTTTTTAATATATTCTAATATGCATGAGTGCAGTGTGAAGTTGTGGCTGCCACTTGGTGAGCTGTTTCAACCCAAATGTTCCTCTTTCTCCAGAGTCAGCCTGTGAAATAGTTTTATCAACCTAATTTATATGGAGGCATAAAAAGTCCAACCTGATAGACACGTTTATCAGGAGCGAAGATTTCAAAACAGCAATCTTTCTTTGCATCCTTGCGGAGAGTATTATTCATTCTGGCGCTGTATCCTTCCAGAGAAAATTCACCTTTCTGCTGTTTGTCTGCCAAAGATAAAAACGGAGTAGCACCAAATTAATTCTCTGATGGCTGCCCCTGAAATGGCATTTCTGCCTGCAGCTTTTAAGAAATCTCTGTAGAATTAAAGTCAACACACTGATGGTAGTCACATGCAGACTTTGAGTCTGGGGAATCGTGGATGCCTCAGTTAGACTAGAGAAGGCCAGCTGTTGCTATGTACAGTGTCTATGTAAATAAGCACAGTGTCACATTTATTATCAGGCACATTCTTTAAAAATCCGTTTGCCATAATGTCCAAAACAGAAAAAATAAAACAATTTCCAACTTGGAGCATATTTATAAAGAAAAATATGGTTCAAACCTTGGCACAACATCTGTTCCATCTGTGCAGGAAAGTAAAATTGGTGGCAGACAAAATAATCGTTTTATCAGATTGATATATAATTCAAATGCAGATGGGCATAACTTTGTACAGTACTAGCAAAACATGCCTTATGGGTTTGAAGTCAAGCTTTCCTTCTAGATTTTTGGAAAGTGAAATTCTAGCTAAAATATTTACCTCAATAGATACAAAATTGCCAAGTCTACACAATTATTAAATATAAGTTGTGCATTAATTTAAGCTATAATGTGACATGTTAATAAATAAAGTTAACGTCTAATTAGGTATTGTCATTTGCAGCCTGGGTTCTACCTGGTCAGCTCTGTCGCAGCCACCTTCTAACATCCTCTCTCCAGTGACATAGAATAATTACTGGTTTGTAAGCCTTTACATCATCAGTACAACAACTATTGAAAACTACGACTCTTGACAAACAGTTACAATGATAATGATGTAAGACTTCACACAAAACTACAGGAGGAGGCAAGTCTCTGAACAGCCATAATAAATGATATTCTGGACTAAAGATACTCACAAAAAGCAACTCTAAACTAAGGCGTTAAATCTCAAAATTGTATTCAAGTACCTTAACTATTAACAAAAATGTATTTCATTTGCATATCAATGAGCTGTAGGTCCTCAAATCATCTCTGAATTCGTGCTGACACTGTCCTTCCTTCTGGAGGGTGACTACTTTGTTCCCAATGGCCCCATTTGTGTGTTGTAAAGTGATGAACTACAATCTTAATGCAATTAGTAAACTAAATGTGAGATTGTAGTTCATCATGGGAGTGAGCTTGGAGTGGTGGCTACTTTACAACACACACACAGGGACCATGGGGAACAAAAGTAGCCACCCTCCAGAAGGAAGGACAGAGTCAGCACCAATTCAGAGATGATTTGAGGATCTACAGTTGAGTGATTCACAAAATAAGCTACATTTTTGTTAATAGTTTAGATACTTGAATGCAATTTTAAGGTTTAGCTCCTCAGTTTAGTGTCACTTTAATTCCAAAATATTGGTGAGTGGCAGTGTGAACACCTAAACCATTTAAACGTTTTATTCCTATCTTTTAACTATTGATATTTTCAGGAGATGATTGGTTACATCTACAGTGTAGATAGAGTAGAAACCCTTCTGAGGTATTTATTCACAGTTGAGTATACAGTAGCTAGTGAAAACTATATGAATATGAATTAAAGAACCGACATCCACCCTTGTTAACCTGAATGGTTTCTTCACTGGAACTGGCAAAAAAAGTGGGAGAGCCACAACCATGTGAGCTGCTTCAATTTGTGAGATTAGATTAGTAGAATAAAATTTGCTTTGCCTTTAGAGGGGTTTTCACTTTTAGCAAGTGGAAAACTTGAAAACAAATTGCTGTCCAAGTAGGTGTTGGATCATGCTGAAAAACAAAGGAGCTTCTAGCCCTTCTGATAGCCAGGAGGAATGTTTTTCTACCCTGTTAACGTTGATGAGGGTTCTAAGAAGGGAGACCACCATTAGTCAGTATGTACTTGTAAGTCAAAGAGTTTTTCTGTTTCTTGTAGAAAGCAGACAACTCCTTTGAGTGGGAGTTATTTGTTGGAATGTGTGTTCCAGATAGAGCAGTAGCTGTGGTTGACACTAACGCATAATGGTTGTTGAAACTTTATAAAATACAAATATTTGCTTTGCAGTCTGGCTTTCTTCCCAAGGGACCAGTGCATCTACAAACTTACTCAATAAGGTGACAAGGAAAGAAAAGACAATGGCACTGTGACTGATTTCTCAGAATGGTTTGTCTACGAGCACAAAAAATACAAAGGGGACAAGATCTACCAACACAACAATGTAACATGTACACAACAAAGAACACAAAGCTGTTTGTATCTCATATTGGCAGAGCAATATAGCACAACTGAATCAGAAACAAAAGCTCAGAGAGAGAACAATTGGAGTAAAGATTAAGATGAGACTGGATAATTTTCATATTGTTTATCATAAATGACAAACTGTTTTGACTTTACTGACCATTAACAGTAAACATGGATATGATGTATCTAACTAACTTTTTGCCTTTCTCTTCTTGACAGGCATCAAACCTTTCTCCATAAGTCAGCAAATGTTCAGTCCATAACAATTCAACCAATTACTTTGGATTGATGTATTTGTTAGACTAAAAAACAAAAGAGCTAGGCCAACATTAGAAAAATGTACCCTCCATGGGGAAGTAGGAGGCAGGTTTCTTAGTACACCTATTGGCCCTTCAGCTCCTTGAAACTCTGTAAACGTTTTGCATCATTACACAGTGATATAGAGTGGACTGGTGCCAAGGACTGGGCTTTTCAAACATAAGACTGCTTAATCCTGATATCCAGCTTTAAAATGAAAACACAGATTTACTCAACAGCCATTTATATGAACATATTTTGGAAAGAAAAAAACACCTGGATATTGATTGTGGACATTTAAATACCCTTTTCAAAGATTATTCTGTGGTGAAAATACAAATGATTGTTTTATTTATTACTTATTACTGGTTTTAGTGGGATTCTTCACTACCAGATATACCAAATTGGACAGACTAAAGTTGAATGGGACACAAAACATTTAAGTTAGATATATTCTTAAAAATTGGTATTGTCTGTGGCTCCATTGTAAGATTAAAACATGACTTTCTCGGTGGAAATACTAAATAAAGAATTTGAACACATGAAATGTCACTGTCATCTTCTTGTTATCAAACAGGGACAGTGTCAGTGACTGCACAGAAATCTTACACATGTTCTGTTAAAGCTGGAACCGTTAATCTCTTACCTAATCCAAAGATAGATTTTTTTTTCTTCATAGGTACAATAAAAAAATTTTAAACAACATACCTTTGTCACCTCCATAATAGTAGAAGATGGATTTGCTTATTGCACACCAACGCTTTTGCCAATCAGATGCAAAAAAGTTGTGATCTGAAATGGAAAAGAATAATGCAAATGTTAAGCATGTTATTTTTTTAAATTTAATTTGTCTGGATATGAGAATAGACTCTCTAATGTTATGTTGGAGAAAATATCCTATACGGTATACAGTTTGGACATAGTGAAATGTAGCTATCATGCAACACAAATAGATGCATTCAGATTCATTACAAAATGATGTGATCAAAAGCTAAATAGTAAGGATGAGGTTTTGGCTTTGCCAAAGACAATAACCTGAAGGAATGGATAACCCAGACCCCTTCCCATTAAAGATTGGGCTCGTGTCAGTGTATGTTGGAAATGTTAGGAAAAGTTGAAAATTCTGTGTAGGTAGAGAAACCGTTTTTTTGGCATTGGTACGTGTCCCCAATTGCAGTGTCTGGCCTATCATGCTTTTTATATGACAATAGCTTGTTTATTGGCTTTACGAATAGCCAGACCCTAATAACAAGATTTGCCACAAAGTTCGCAAACAAGTTTTGCAATACAAGCAATGTATTAACGTTCTTGTTTTAATGACAAATACCAGTTTTTTTTCTGCCTCTTAACCTGAACAGTGTGTAACCAGAACAGAACCAGTCCCAAGTCTGTGGGGCATGCTAGGAAATTTCTACACAAAAAATGAGGCTTGTCATAAGTAAAGTAATCTGAGCATGCTCTGCTCCAGTAAATAGACTGTTTAATAGTGATGGGTCAAACACCCCCTTGTTCGCTTCGAATTCGAATTTTAGAACATGGAAAAAGTTCAAGTTCGAGCTCGAAGTCAATGAAAATCTATGGGGCTAGAACTTTGAAAATCAATTGACCCCATTTTAAAGGCTTATATGCAATTTATTGGCCATGAAATGACATTTGTAAATTTAAAAAAATGACATTTAAAAAGAAAAAAAAAAGAATGTGGTTCCCCCTCCCAAACAATACCAGACCCAATAGGTCTGGTAGGAATGTTAGGAGGGACCCCAATAAAAAAAAAAAAATTAAAGAAAATGTGGGG